TCTCTGATTCCTTCCTTCCCTGCCTCCTTGCTTCTGGCCCCTCAGCATGCAGTCTGGTAGTACCTATCTCTCCTACACTTATTTTCAGCTGCCTCTCTTCACAAAGTTCTTCTCTGGCTTTTATTTTCATTTGTTATTACATGTATGTGTGTGCGTGCGCACGCAGGTGCATGCATGCACCCATGCTTACATATGTGCTATCGTGCATGTAAAGAGGTCACATGTAAACTTTTAGGATTTGCTTCTCTCCTTCCACCTGGGGATTGAACTAGGGTCAGCAGCCTTGGTGACAGGTTTACTTCCTAAACCATCACAGCAACCCTCCTCTCTGGAATTTGAAGAGGACCCGTTCTCTCCCTTTGGAACCCTGCCATACTGTTTCTGACTGGATGCCCCAACCTTTCCAATTGCTCTCCCACCTCAACACTCCATGGTTACAAGGCCCTCTCTCCCTGTAAGCTCACTTCTGAAGGGTATTTTTTTTGTCGGCTCCTTTCCTAAACCAAACAATTATGCTTTAAATGTACATGTGCTTCCTAGTGCTAGGTCACTAGTGTGGGGAGCTGTGCTAGTTTATACAGGAATTGGGCTGGATTTAAAGTTTACAGCTATTCTGTTTGCCCTCAATGTACCAAGGTCTTCAATTCTTTATCTATATAATGTTTCAAGTAAGGGCTACTTTGCCATAGAGGTTTTCTCTGTTTCACTCACACCTTTAGATCATTCTAAAGCCTTTCCTAAAAGGTAGCATTATATCTGAGAAAAGGGTTGTGGTGGTTTGAAAGAAAATGGCCTCCAAAGGGAGTGGTACTGTTGGGAGGTATGGCTTTGTTGGGGGAGGTATGTTCTTGTTAGAGGAAGTGTGTCCCTGTGGGGGTGGGTTTTGAGGTCTCCTATGCTCAACCTACTCCCAGTCAGACAGTCCACTTCCTGTTCCTTTTCCAGCACTATGTCTGCCTGCATGCTCCTATGCTCCTTGCCATGAATGATAATGAAGTAAACCTCTGAAAATGTAAGCCACTACTGCGATTAAATGTTTACTTTTATAAGGCTTGGAGGAATTTTGACTTTGGTGCTTTGGGTTAGAAAAGGAGTGGAATGCTTTAAGCGCTGCTTAAAGGGCCAGACTAGTAGGAGCATGGAAAACAGTGGAGCTAAGAGTGAATAAAACTGTCTGGAGCTGGCTCAAGAAGTTTCAAAGGAGAAGAACTTTAATATGTTGCATCGAAATAATTTGGGTGAAGAATGTGGATGCTTTTTGCCCTTGTCTAAAAAGTTTGCCTGAAATTACAGTGAAGAATTTTGGATTAATTGTGTTGGCAGAGGAAATATCAAAACAGCCTGGTATACACTGTGTTGTGTACTACTGTTAACTCTAATGAAGATCTATAATGAAAAGAAGCAAGATGAGCAAGGAAAAATATTTGAGGAGAAAAGCAGCACCAGAAAGTGAAATGGAGCTAAATCCTGTATTCAAGGAGATAAACAGATTAAGAAACGGAATAAAGGGAGTGGTGACCCCTGGGCAAGATCGCACCCAGCTAAGTTTTTAACTTATGAAAAAGAATTAAAGAAAAGCTTAGGGCCAGGTGTGGTGGTGCTGCCTTTAATCCCAGAACTGGTAAGGCAGAGGCTGGTAGATCTCTGAGTTTGAGTACAACCTGGTCTACAGATTCAGTTTCAGGACAGCCAAGCTTAGGCATTGAAGGTACAGAACAGAAAGCTGATGACAATGTAATTGAATGAGGGGGCCATATTCTAGCCCCAGCAAGCAGCAGAACTTGGCAACTTCAGCCACATGGTTCTGGCTTTAGACTCAAGGAGCAACTAAGGAAAGCTACTGAGGCCAGGCATGTGTCAGGGGTGTCTCTGCATGGAGGCTTAGAGAGACCATTGAATGAAGCTGTGAAGTTGAAGACTGGATTGTCTTGGAGACTCCAAGATATTAGAGATGCCAGAGTTGTGGGATAACTGCCAAGGAAAGCTGCTAGCAGGCAGTGGAACCAGCCCAAGAGAAATAAGTGTGTTGTAGTCAACAAAGCTGAAATGAGTCATCTGAAGATCATTTTGACATCAGACATGGTGATTCAGAGTTTGGAGTTTCCCCAGCTGGTTATTGGTCTTGCTTTGGTCCAGTATTTCTTCATGATGCTCCCTTCCTTATGTTCTGAAACAGTAATTATAGACTATGCCATTATATGTTGGAAGTATGTGATCTGCTTTTTAGTTTTGATTTTATAGGGGATCACAATTAAAAGACTGCATGAATCTTAGAAGAAACTCTGAACTTTAAACATTTAAACAAGTTGGAGACTGTTACAGACTATGGAACTTTGGAAGTTGAACTGAATGCATTTTTGCATTATTATATGGCTTCAAGGTTTTGGGGGCCAGAAAGTGGAATGTGGTTTGAAAGGAAATGGCTCCCAGAAGGAGTGGCACTATTAGGAGGTGTGGTTTTGCTGGAGTAGTTGTGACCTTGTTAGAGGAAGTGTGTCACTGTGGGAGTGGGCTTTGAGGTCTCCTATGCTCAAGCTACTCCCAGTGAGACAGTCTACTTCCTGTTGCCTGCCTATCAAAATGTAGCAACTCCTTCTCCAGCACCATCTCTGTGAGTTCAAGGCCAGCCTGGTCTACAAAACAAGTTCCAGGACAGCCAGAAAAACCCTGTCTCAAAAAAATAAATAGTTACTATGGTCATGGTGTCTTTTTACAGCAATAAACCCTAACAAGGATCATTTCAATGATATAAAATCTCTGGCCACACAGATAAAGAAAAGGCCACCAGTCTAGAAAGCACATCCTCTCCAACCTCTGTCTGTTCCATCCCTTAGAGGACAACCCAGCCCAATGGTGGTGGTACACACCTTTACTAGCAGCACTCAGGAAGCAGAGGCAGGAAGATCTCTGAGTTTGAGACCAGCCTAGTCTAAATAGTGGGTTTGAGGACAGCTAGAACTACACAGAGAAACCCTGCCTTGGACAGCAAAAAAGGAACAACCACGTGTGCTTAACACCCCAGGTTCCCCTTGTGCATGTCTGTGAGCACAAAGACCTCCGAGCCTACTACAGAGAAATCTGCCAGCCAAATGTTGGGATTAATCTGTGTGCCAACATGCCCAGCTTTTGTCTGTTTGTTTGTTTTCTTGGTTTTTGTTGTTTAGGTTTATAAAACTTAGTAAGAGTCTGCAACTCACAGTCCAAATGTATCAGAATGAAATTATAAAGCAAGAAAATAATTACACAGCTCTATTAATCTTTACACTTGAAGACTCAGATCCCAACCTGGGCTTTTACCTGCATCTCCCTGGACACAGCTTATCCTTCAACAAGAAGGATTATTTAAGAATCTCCTCACCTTGTGTTCCAGGATCCCACCTCCAAAACCTAGGGCCTCCTGACCTACTTAACTTTGTACCCTAGCATAGCCTAGAGTCATCTTAGAGAAAATCTCCCAGTGAGGCATTAAGCAGATCAGGGTGTACGCAAGTCTATGGGAGAATTGTGTTATTAACTGATATTGGAGTTCCCAGTCTACTTGGTGGTCCTGGGAAATATAAGAAAGCAGCTTAAGAAGGGAAGGGAGGAGCCAGAGAGTAAGCCAGCAAGCAGTGCTCCTCAATGGTTCCTGTCTCCATGCTCCTTCCTTGAGTTCCTTACATGACTTTCTTTGGCAATGGACTGTGACCTACAAGTGTAAGGGGAAACAGTCCCTGCCCTGTCGAAAATTGCTTCGGGTAGGAGCATTTTATTATAGAAACAGTATGAAACTAGAATAACCTGCAAGTTCTCCGTTCTTCCCTAGGATAGAGGTCTTTCTAGAGTAAATGACAACAGAGAATATTTCGTTTAGAACTGTCTACAACCTATAAATAGGGATCAGGTTGCACTAGGGCTTCTAAAAGGCAATTACACAATAGCCCATCATCACTACATTCCAAGACAGTGTTTACTCAGTTGCAAATAATACAGGTCTCAGACATCAACAGACCAGGCCAGGCCAGGCTGGATAAACCTAACCCATTGGTCTTTATAGTCTGCACCAGCCAGAGCTGCCTGGGCAGTTGGGCCTGCATTTCTTCTTCCTGCTGGTCCAAATCTTCAATAACCCATGAGTGTTCACCTAAATCAGAATAGAAATACCCCTTTCAAGGTTCTCTGCAGGACAGCATGAGAGAAGACATTCAAGGTCACACTGAGAATTAGGCAAGATCACCTTCAGAGAAGTAGTAAGTCCTGTGGAGAGCCACTGCACTTTAAACATGCATCCTTTTATCAACCAAATGGGATGCTTGTCGCTGACATCTGCATCCAAGTGATTCTGCCTCCTGAGGTTCAGAATCCATTAGAGTTGTTGAGAAAGCCAACCACATCACTATCTGAACAAGCAGATCTGTCTACCTGACTAGAAGGTTAGGTGACCTTTCCAGAATAAGAGAAAAACATGCTGCTAGTATTGAAATTTCCCAAGTTCAGTGAGTTCAAATAAAAGGCACATAGACTTCCAGATTCATTTCTCATTTCCAGGGGTGCTCAATTGTCATCAAGAACAACAGGATGGCTAGTGTGCAGAATGGATGCAGCTGGTTTTGTGTAACTTTGAGCTTTACCCATTTGAAAATCTGCCTGAGATTTGTGAAAGAGAGCTACCAGTCTTCTCCCTGGACTCGCAGCATTTCTGTATTAGTTATTTAGGTTGTTGCTGCCATGACAAAATGCCTGACCAACAACTCAAAGGACAAAATATGTCTTTTAGCACAATGGTCCATGTTCACTTAGCTCCATATGCCTGGACATGGTGTGAGGTAAACCCAGCCACATAAAGTTAAAGGAGTTTTTTTCAAAAGCCATTGTATGGAAACAAAGTATTGCTATGGCTCATTTGATAGAACATGATTAACAATCTTGAAAAGTCAGGATTTTCTTTCTGAAAGAGGATTTTAGTCCAGCTTGTCTGGTTTAATGTTTTTGTTTGTTTGTTTGTTGTTATTGTTTTTAAGATTATACCGTGAAAGCGGGAAGATCCGGAGTGGGTTACATGAGACTCTACAAAAACCAACAAGAAGATAGGAAGGTTAGTGACGTGTTCAAATACTCAAAAGCCCTTATAAAGGTCAATGTAAACAAGAGTTATGAAGGGGACTCCAATGGACCAACTGCTGTTTTTGATGGACCCAATGAATGTGTCCAAGGCACCTACTCTTCCTGGGACTCTTTTATCTGAACAGGAACACAGATTCCGGGTGATTTCAAACCTGTGACTCTGTGACCCTGTTAGGTGGAGATGTAATCCATATGACTATTTTCTCTATGTGACCATGTTTGAGGTGGTTTCCCTTTCATTACCGTTTCACACACTGTACTGTTGACAGAATAATGTGTGTTTCAATCTTGGTAACTGGGTCTTCACAGCAAGACTCAGATAGAAACTCCCAAGTTCAACTCCCTACAGGAGCATTTGCCATCTGCTTGTCAGACTGAGACCCCTGATGTCTCCATCCATTGCAATCATATTTCTGGACTGTGCAAAGTATTCTGCCTCTCATTTCAGCCTCTGCTTGACTTGGTCATTACAGTTTTGTCATCCAGATTCTTCCTTAGGGTGAAGGGCATGAATCTCACTGAAGAGTAGCTGCTACCCTGTGCCCTGCAGCTTGTACCTGTGATGTATTTTGGTGCAGGAAGGCCTGCAGCACCCTATGGCCATGGAAGGAGCCTCCCCACCAAGCTCACCCAGTTCTTAGAAATGAGATCAAATCGGGCCTTTATATTAAAGGTATGAAAACCAGGAGCAGAGGGGGTAAGGGACAATATTTGTTCATGGGTGCTAAATCCTTTTGTGTATAAACTAGGAATCTAAGGCAAACGGTGACTCTAAGAAGAGAGTAAGGTTTGAGGGGTAGGAAGTTTATATGGGTGATGTGCAAGCAGCATGGTTTGCCTTTTCTTATATTCCTGGGCTCATGCCCAGGATCTGTACTGTTGAGTGGTAACTCCGCCCAGGTAATCTAACCTGAAAAGATACCTCAGGCTTCAGATTAAAGACACATGCTCATATAAACAGAGGGAGAAACTGGCTAAAGCTTCCAGATTTTTAGAAAGTAACAGGTAAGTTTTAAAACAATTATTTTGAAGGCTGAAAGGTGCTCTAAGAAAGGGACCACATGAAGGCTGGTGGACCAACTTCTGTTAGACCTTCTCGTGGTTCTCAGAGGCATTATTTGTGAGGTGTTTTGTCTGCACTTTGTGGTTAAGAGTAAGGAGAATGTGAGGTGGCATAGCCTGGGGGATTCACCTAAATGTGAGTGTCCTGCCTCCTTCAGGTTCCTGGTAGCTTAGCTGTTGGTGGGCTCCAACCTGATAGCTAATGGAATGACAGCAGCTGGGGGACAACAGGGGCAACCGGAAGAGCCAAAATGTCACTTTGAGAATAACTGAACTGAGAAGCAAAGTAGCAAGAGCCAGGAGCATGCCACACATTCACTGGTTTCATTTCTGTCTCATTGTGTGATGAGTGTCTGTGATTGTCTTGTAGGATTCAAACCAGGAAAATGATGACCAGTCGTAAGTCACTGTGGGTGCTGCTGTTTATAGTTATCCTCTGGGTCTCTTTTACAGTTTTCAGAAACCCATCGGAGGTAGGAATTGATTTCTTTTTTGTTTGTTTGTTTTGTTTTACTTGATATTGTGTATGTATATTATGTTAGCGGCAATGACCCACCAACTGCAATGGAGATGGGGCTTGCTCAATATGGCTTACCAAGCAGCATTAATAAACTGATGTAGCTGACGATTATTAATGTGCCCAAACCTTTCATTTATAAGCTGGGACTCAGGGCAGTGGGTGCTTCTCGGAGACAGGAAATCACGAGGGATGGCAAGCTTTATTAGGCAGCAATTAAACTTCGTTCTTAAACTTCGTTCTGGGCTGCTTGAGGACAAGGGCAGGTATTGTTTCGCACTGTCCGCAGCCTGTGTTTGCACCTGCCTCAAGGAAACTTCTGGAGGAAAGAATGCATTCATTTCTGTGTACTGAAATGATCTGTCTTTTCAAAACTGTGGGTGATTAACAGTGGGAAACCATTCCCTCCTCCAGTACCAGGCTGTCACAATATCTATCCACTGAGGCTGTTAAAGCTTACATTTGACTTTGTTGCTATTGACTTTGTTGTTTGTTTTCCCTATTTCAATGGTCACTTCTCTGCTTTGGAGTGGGACTTTTGTTGGTAGTGGTGGTTAGTTACTTTTATGGGTTTGTTTGCAGAATTTTGTTTTTGTTTTGTTTCATGGTTTCTCTCTGTAGCTTAGGTTGGCCCTTCTCTTGCTGTACACACACCTCAAGCTCGGGCTTGAACTTGCAGTTGTCCTGATTCAGCTTTCACTGCTATTGGAGAGCTCTTTTATTAAAAATAATTTTGTTCACAGATTATTATTATTATTATTATTATTATTATTTACGCAGGAATTGGGTTCATTCAAGCTACTTTGCCTGTGCTGAAAATTCTAATTGGTGCTTGATAGCAATGATCCATCTGACTGTTACTTTATTTGACATGTTAGAATATTTTTAAATCCTTTCAGAAATAGAGACAGTCCCACCTGTCATGTGTCCAATGCCTTTCTTATGTTTCCCATGTGTCCTAGTTAGGGTTTCTATTGCTGTGATGAAACACCATGACCAAAGCAACTTGAGGAGGAAAGGGTTTATTTGGTTTATACTTCCACATCATAGTCCATCATTGAAGGAAGTCAGGACAGGAACTCACATAGGGCCGGAATCTGGAAGCTGATTCAGAAGTCACGGAGGGGAGCTCCTTACAGGTTTGCTCCCCATGGCTTGTTCAGCCTGCTTTCTTACAGCAACCAGAACCAACTTCCCATCCAGGAACCATCCACAACGGGCTGAGCCCTTGCACATCAAACACTAATTATGAAAATGCCCTACACATGTGTGTATAGCCCATTCTTACAGGGGCATTTTCTCAATTACAGCTCCCTCCTCTCTGATAACTATAACTTGTGTCAAGTTGACATAAAATTAGCCATACACTGTGTCATTCCATAATCCTCACAATAGCTGTTCAAAGTGCATAATTATGACCTGATAGTCAGTTGATAGAACTAATTTATAGTTACGTGAGTGCAGAACCCATAACATCCAGAAAATGGTGTCAGATCTCTTGCTGGCGTTACAGGTGGTTGTTAACCACTGGCAATTGAACTCGGGTTCTGGTTCTTTTTGTTTGTTTGTTTGTTTGTTTGTTTTGTTTTGTTTTTTTACACCTTGGCTCTTTTTTTAATTTATTTATTAGTTCTAGTTAGGGAACAAGCTTGTTTCAAGTCCCTTCTCCCTCTCTCTCCCTCCCCCCACCCCATCCATCCACCACTCCCCAGGCAGGGTAGGGCCCTCAGCGGGGGCTCTGCAAAGTCCACCAAATCTTCCTGTGCTGGTCCTGGGCCCTTCCCCATGTGTCCAGGGCCAGAGTGTAACCCTTCACATGGGATGGGCTCTCAAAGTCCCTTCTTGCACCAGGGAAAAATACTAATCCACCACCAGAGGCTCCTTGGAATGCAGAGGCCTCCTTATTGACATCCAAGTTCAGGGGTCTGGATCAGTCTTGTACTGAGCTAGCCGACAGCATCTGGGGTCGATGTGCTCTCCCTTGTTCAGGCCAACTGTTCCTGTGGGTTTCTCCAACCTGGTACAGACCCCTTCGTTCTTCATTCCTCCCTCTCTTCAACTAAATTCCCGATTTCGGCTCAGTGTATATCTGTGGATGTCTGTCTCTGCTTCCATCAGCCACTGGGTGAGGGCTCTAGGATGGCATAAAGAGAAGTCATCAATCTCATTTTAGGGGAAGGGCTTTTAGGTTATCCTCTCCACCATTGCCTGGATTGTCAGATCATGTCATCCTTGTAGGTCTCTGGAGATCTCCCTGGTTCCAGATCTCTTCTCAGACCTATAGTGGCTCCCTCTGATATGGTATCTCTCATCCTGCTCTCTTAGCTCTATTCTTCCCCCAACTCAATATTTCTGCCACTCCATTTCCTCTCCTCTACTCCTCTTCTCTTGCTCTTATTGTAGCAGCTTCTTCCCCCCTACCCTCATGCTCCCAATTAGTTCAGGGAACTCGGGTTCTCTTTAGGAACAGCAAGCACTGTTAAGTGCTCAGCCCTGTCTCGACCCCCATATCACCACCATTTTGAAGAAGATCCTACTTAGGGCTATTTGAGGTTGAATGGGTTTTCCAAAATAAGCCATTGAAAACTAGAGTTATACTAATAGTTTAAACGAAGATGTCTGTGTGTGACAGATGTGACCACAAAATCTTAGTGTAATATGATTTCAGTACTTCTCATTGTTCCATAAAGAAGAAAAGTTTGTTAACCCACCAAAACTTTTTACATTAAATATCAACTTTTTCTTTGTTCTCTATTCTATTTCTTGCCCATTCAGATATGGGCTACGTTCAAGTTGCCTGTGTCCTTCAGTCGCTGGAACTTGGTCATGAAATCCTCCTGCCCTACAGTGCCTCTGAACCCACCAGTTTCACTACAAGAGACAGAGATGAGAGTCAAGGAGATCCTAGAGAAACTAGACAAACAGATCCCTCCCAGACCTTTCACCCATCTCAACACCACCACCAGCGCCACGCACAGCACAGCCACCATCCTCAACCCTCGAGAGACCCATTGCATGGGGGACAAACTGGATGTGCTCTTGGAAGCTAGGGACCACCTGGGACACAGGAAGGAATATGGTGGGGACTTCCTGAGGGCCAGGATGTCCTCCCCAGCCCTGAAGGCAGGAGCTTCTGGAAAGGTGACAGACTTCAACAATGGCACCTACCTTGTCAGCTTTACCCTGTTCTGGGAAGGCCCCGTCTCCCTGTCTATTCTTCTCATGCATCCCAGTGAAGGGGTGTCAGCTCTCTGGAGGGCTCGGAAACAGGGATATGACAGAATCATCTTCACTGGCATGTTTGTCAGTGGAACCTCTCAGGTCCACACTGATTGTGCCTTGGTTCTGAACTCAAGTGTGGAGCTGTGCCAATATCTGGACGCCCAGGACCAAGAAGCTTTCTATTGTGTGAAGCCTCCAAATATCCCCTGTGCTGCCCTCACCCACATGCATTCAAAGAACAAGCAAGTTTCCTATCTTAGGCAGCAAGAGAGGAGCCTCTTTGAAAAGTAAGTAATTACTGTTTCACATTTCCAGGGAGGGGGCGGGTAATCTAGCCTGCAGGGAGTGTATTCTAAGCACATTAATTTAGGGACTATAAGAGTCCTTTGAGAAGAGACCTGTGAATTCATTTGGGGATCATGTTCATTCTACAGAGTCCTCAGCTTTTATGAGAAGTAATCCTCCCAATGAACCCCAAAAAACATCGGTTCGGTATAAACTACAAGAATGAGAAATATATGTGTGTGCATTCTAATACTTTCTTTCTGTGTCTCAATACACTGCCTTGCATATATACAAGTCCTATGGACTAAGAAACAAATAAATGGAAACTTACTAAATGACTTGAAATTCTAGACAGGGAAATTAGATTCTCACTGAGAACTAACAGAACTGGCCAGTCTAGGTTCTGGGATTTTGCTTGAGTTGAGGCCACTGCGGATTAATTTCTGTATCTGTCTCTTTAAGGTCAAATATAGGTGTGGAGATTATGGGAAAATCCAATGTGATTAGTGTCTCCAAATGCAACAGTAAGTGCTTCTGTACTTGGTGGGCAGGGCTTACCACTGGACCCATTTAAATGTCCTTCTCTTTCTGCTGGACTTGGTCACTATCTCAGTTCTTATAAGGTGGGTCAAGGCACAAAATCTGTAAGTGAATGAATGGCTGTACTCACTAGGATCTTACGTGTATGCTTTAGTAACTACATCTCTCACCAACCTACTCATCAGGTAGAGGGTACCAATAACACAATGACCTGCAAAGGTCAAAACTGATTCCCAATTTACTACCATTCTTCTCTCTTGGTTTTGAAACCATTTTTTTTAACAAAGAACTTCCACATGTGTATTCACTAGTCTTTCTTCCTTTCTTCCTTTCCGTCCTTCCTTCATTTCTTCCTTTCTTCTTGTCTTTCTTCCTTCCTTTCTTTCTTTCCTTTTACTCTGAACAGCTCACAAACACCACCTAAAATGATTTAAGGCAACAGTATCTTTGTCTCTCTAGATTCACCATGAAAAGCTTGCTAATTGCTAAGATGGTTTTCCACATAGAAGGAAAAACCATGTTTCTGATTGCAGAAGTGGTATGGAGTGCTTACCCAGGAGGCACAAAGCCCTAGGTTTGCACCCCACATAAAAACACACCCATGATACACAAACTCGGGAAGTGGAGGCAGAAAGATGAGGAATTCAAGGTCATCCTCAGTTCCATAGCAAATTGAAGGCAAGTCTAGGCAGAGACAGACTTGGAGAGGGAAAAGGAGAGAAATGGTATTTACCCTTTTGGAGTGATGAATGATTGTGACCCCAAACCTGCTGCCTCACCATCCTAGACACACACACACACACACACACACACACACACACACACACACACACACACACACACCGGTCTCTTCATTACCCAGAGACTAAGGTTGAAGATCTGGCCCTTCTTGGACCTCCAGGCCTCTCTCAATGCAAATTGGCCAATTTCTAAGCCAAGTTCACCCACCCTTTATCTCAAAGAGTTCACACTTTAGTGGTAACATTTAAGATCCCAGTGAGAGCATATGACAAGCTCAGGAGCCAAGTGGACTAAAACAAGCTCTCTCTCGCCCTGTATAAGAATTGATGAGGCAGGTCTCACGGCAAGGCTAACAAACTGTTACATTTTCCTTAAAGGCCTTTTTTATTCTGAGAAGGCAAACCCCTTGTACTTTCATAATAAACACTGATGGGCATCACTTAGGAAATCACATCAGAGGAAAGTTTTGCTGAAAATAATCCATTACAAAGATACTTTAATAAGCTTCTTTTTATTGTCATCACCATCTATACATCTATCTAGAGGGTTCTTTGGAAAAGGCAGAAGGGTATTAAACACAGGTGAATAGAGTGGCGATTTAGAAGACTCTATCTTGCTGATTCCTTGGCAGAAGAGGCTGTTCCAACAAAAGAGAAATGCAAGTTCGGAATGGTATCTGGAATCCCCAGTGGGCATGTCTGGAAAAACACATGGAATCCAGCCTCCTGTAGTTTGGCTCCAATCAAAATGAAAGACTGCCTGAGAGGAAAGTTCATCCACCTAATGGGTGACTCCACAATCCGCCAATGGATGGACTACTTCAAAAGCAAAATAGACAGTATGTCTCAGTATAAGCTTTTCACATCTCTTTCAGAAACTATGTTTTCATTTCAAGGGGCAAAATAGTAAGGAAATTCCTCCTCTGTTATAGTTCTTAGAGACAAACCATCAGCCTTATTCACAAAATGTTACCATCCTTCCCTCCAACTGTGGTTCTCAACCTGTCATCTTCCATTAAGGCTGAATTCAAAGACACAGCCATCCCCTGCACAATATAACCTAAATGATTCTAGAAGAGGGTAAAGTCCCTTATCATAAGGCACCTTCAATTGTTTGAGTAGTTTTCCAAACTTCTCCTTAGTCAGGATGTGATGAGTGTATATGACTGTTAACACCAGATCTTTTCTCCTGTATTTGTGGCTAGTTGGTCTCTGTAACTGTATTCTCCTTTTGTTTTGGGACTACCTGTTTGCTGTCAGCACTGAGGTCTGTGGATCTGCATGAGACTGGAAAACTGCAACACCAACTCGCCGTGGACTTGGATGAAAAAATTAGCATCCAGTGGCAAAAACATGGCTACCCCCTTATTGGATCACTGGTGTACTCTGTCAAAGAGATAGAGAACATTGCACGGATAATTGACAGGACTGGAGGAGAGAAAAATACAGTCATCGTCATTTCTCTGGGTCAGCATTTCAGACCTTTTCCCATTGACGTTTTTATCCGAAGGGCCCTCAATGTCCACAAAGCTCTTCAGCGACTTCTCCTGAGAAGCCCAGACACTATGGTTGTCCTCAAAACAGAAAACATCAGGGAGATGAACAGTGATGTGGAAAGACTTAGTGACTTCCATGGTTACACCCAGTATCTTGCCTTAAAGGATATTTTCCAGGGTCTCAATGTGGGTGTCATTGATGCCTGGGATATGACAATTGCATATGGAACAAATGATGTCCATCCACCACAGCATGTGGTTGGAAGTCAAATTAATATATTCTTAAACTATATTTGCTAGGAAGCACATAACTCTGAAAGTCACTCATTGAAATTCAAAGATACAGTGTACCCTGCTGGTGTCCCAGTTAGTCCAGTGAGGTAGTCTGCACTGTGGTCCATGTGACCCACCCAGTTCAGCCTAAAAGGGCCCAGACTGGGCTTCTGCTTCAAGTTGAAGCTCAAAAGAATCAATGAAAGGTCCTACCTTTATTGATCAGAGCCACACTGCTCTTCATCAACTGGAAGTTAGGATTCCTATAGGTGAGACCTTTTTCCCTGCTGCTGTGAGTTCAGAAAAATGAAGCAGTTTTGCATAAAATTCTTCAAAGGTCTTTGATTCAATCTGTAAATATGTTTGCTGAGAATTTTTACATCTGTGTTTATCAGGGAAATTGAGCTGTACCTTTTTCTTGGTCATGTCTCCAAGTTTGAAATCAGGGCACTATAGACTTCAAAGAATGACTTTGGTGGTGTTTCATTCTGTTTGTGACTTGTGGAAATGTCTGAGAACTGTTGGTTAGGTTTTCTTTTACAAATTTCATAGTATTTAGTAGCACATCTGTCCAGGCCTGAACTTTTCTTTGGAGAGAGACCTTTAATTACTGCTTCAATCTCATTGCTTATTATGGATCTGTTTAAATTGTTTCTGTTTTCTAGATTTAATTTTGATAGGCTATATGATTTTTGAAATTTGTCTTTCTCCTAGACTTTTGAGTTTTTGGAATATCAGATTTTGAATCAACCAAAACAAAGTATGCACTGAAACACTACCATGAAACCTAGTATTTTGTAACTAATTTTAGAATAAATAAAAATTTTAAATGGGAAACACTAAAATAGGAATGGATAATGGAAAATATTTTGGTGAATTTTTACTCTTATATATTAAATACAAAATTATAGTTTGCTTTTTATAAATATACTACAAATTATGTATTTTTGCTTTTTTTGAGACGTGGTTTCTCTGTGTAGCTCTAACTGTCCTGGAACTCCATCTGTAGACCAGACTCGCCTTGAATTCAGAGATCTGCCTGCCTTTACCTCCTGAGTGCTGGAATTAAAGGAGTGTGCCATCACTGCCAAGCTTTATCTTTTGAATTTCTTTATTATCTTTATTTATTTGGAGGGGGGATATATATATATACCACAGTGCACATATCGGGATCAGAGAATAATGTTTAGGAGTTAATTCTCTCATTCCACCACATGGGTCCCAGTGATTGAACTCAAGTTATCAGGCTTGGTAGCAAGTGCCTTTACCTACCCAGCCATCTCACTGAACCTAAAATACCTTTTAAAAAGAGTAAAGGTAGTTAAAGAGATGACTCAGAGGTTCAGAACACTTGTTGCTCTCCCAAGAGACCTGGGTTTGATCCCCAGTACACATTTCCAGGGGACCTAACTCTCTCTTCTGGCTTCCCCAAGCACCAGGCATGAATGTGGTACACAGACATATATTCAGGCAAAACACCAATACACATAAAATTTTACTGTATTTTCTTTTATTATTATTAATTAGATTTATTCATTTATTTTACATCCTGGCCACAGTTTCCCCTCCCTCCTCTTCCCCCATCCCCTCCTGCCACCTCTCCTCTGTATCTACTCCTCTTTTGTTTCTGTTCAGAAAGCATGGTATAGCAAGTTAGGATAGGACTAAGCTCCTCCCCTTATTTTAGGCTGGGCAAGGCAACCCAGTATGAGGAATGGGTTCCTAGAAGCCAGCCAAAGCATTAAAGACAGGCCCTGCTTCCACCAGCTGCTGGGTGAAGGCTATAGGAAGAAACCCACAGCTAAACACTGAACTGAACTGGAATCCAGTTGCAGAGAAGGAGTATTGATGAGCAAAGGGGTCAAGGCCAGGCTGGTGAAACCCACAGAAACAGCTGACATGAACAAGGGAGAGCTCTTGGTCCCCAGCATGGGACTGATCCAGACCCCATGAATGTGGTTGTCAGAGAGGAGACCTCAGAAATCTATGGGGCCCCTTGTAGGGGATCAGTACTTATCCCTAGCATAGGAATAGACTTTGGGAGCCCATTCAACATACAAGGATACTCCCTGAGCCTAGACACACGGGGGTGGGCCTAGGCCCTATCCCAAAGGATGTGACAGACTCTGAAGACCCCCTATGGAAGGCCTCGCCCTTCCTGGGGAGCAGAAAATGGTATAGGTAGGGTGTTAGTTGGGGGGGGGGGCAGATGAGGAGGGGAAGGAGAGGGAAATGGGATTGATATGTAAAACAACCTTGTTTCTAATTCAAATAAAAAAAATGGAGAAAAGAAAGTAAAGACAGGCCCTGCTCCCACCACAAGGAGTCCCACCAGTAGCTCAAGCTACACAACTGTCACACAAGCTAGGTCAGTCCCATGCAGGCTCCCTAACTGTCTGACTAGAGACTTTAAGCTCCTGTGAGAACAGGTTAGTTGTGTCTGTTGGTTCCCTTGTCATGACCTTGACCCTCCTGGCTCATACAATCCTTCCTCCCTCTCTTTAATAGGATTCTCCCAGCTTGGCCCAGTACTTTGCTATGGTTCTCTGCATCTGTTTCCATCACTCATTGAATGAAGGCTCTCTGATGACCATTTCAGGACATTACCAATCAGGAGATGGCCAGTTCAGGCTACCTATCCACTATTGCTAGGAGTTTTAGCTGGGATCATCCTTGTAGATTCATGGAAGTTTCTCTTGCACCAGGTTTTTACCTGACCCCAAAATGTGCCCCCCATGAAGACATCTCTTTTATTATTCTCCCCCTCCATCCACTACCCCAACCCAATCCCTCATGTTCCCATCCCTGCTTGGCCCCAGTCTACCCAGGGATCTCTTCTATTTCCCCTTCCCAGGGAAATCCATGCATCCCCATCCACCATTTAGGTCCTCCTTGTTACCTAGCCTCTCTAAGGCTATGGATTATAGCATGGTTATTTTAAAAACTCAAACCATTTTGTTTGCATTCAATAGTTACATCAAGACGCCAAATCAACTTAGTGGAGTACATATAAAACAACTCTCCGAATAAAGAGTCTCATTTCCTTTTCTATCACTAACTACAGGCTCCAGGTGATTTTTTACATGATAGACTATCTCCCACAGTCATAGACTATCAGAATACCAAATAAGGCTGCAGGATCTCAAAAGTCCTCCGACTATCCCATAGGACTTCTCTCTGTGAGATTCCAGCTGAATCTATAGCCTCATCACCTAGGAACAGGAGGTAACAGTGAAATACAGTGAGCTGGAGTTCAAAGACTTTGGTCCTGTTACAAGCCATAATTTTGAGACTTTGGATAAGTTGGGTCATCTTCTTAGGCCATGTTATTCTGAATGAAGGAATTAGTTTAAGATTCACAACCACAAAACTGTTCTTTGTAGCTGTAGGTAGTCCTTGGGACACTGTTTAGAGATGCAAGAGTCAGGAGAGGTGTCTGGCAGGTTGAGTATAGGTTCCAATGTGCCTCCTCAACCAAAGCATCAGTCACTTTTACCTGTGTGTGTCCATCTTCTGCATCAGCCTTGGTTTGAAAGGGTAATTCTAAACCTTGATACACTTCTAAAGCTATTTTGATTACTTACAATCAACAACACTGATTAGCATCACCTACGTGTATACGTTAACATTTTTAACTTTTCATCTTAGTGGTTGAATAAGGCAATGAAATTTTCATCAAGACCTTCATTACTATATTCTTCTTTAACTCTGCACTATTCACTGAGCCTCACAACTATAGGACCCAGACCTACTCTCACTGCACTGGAAGAAAACAAGTACAGAAGAACACTTTAAATCTGTATCCTATGTCCTTAGGGCAGGAGATGATACAATCTCTCTACATCTGCCTGGGACTCATCGTTCACAGTCCAGAGCTACTGTACACTCGGGGAGGGGTCAAAAACACTTACTAAGTTCCTACCATGTTACAAATACTGTTCTAATCTTCAGAGATATTGTGAGGGCTGGAGAGATGGCTCAGCAGTTAGCAGTGCTAACTGCTGTTGCAGAAGACCTGGTTCAACTCCCAAAACACACATCAGGTCACTCACAACTACCCATAACTCTCTATGTGATCTGATACCCTCTTTTGTGTTTTTGTTTTCGAGACAGGGTTTCTCTGTATTGCTTTGGAGCCTGTCCTGGAATTTGCTCTGTAGACCAGGCTGGCTTCGAACTCACAGAAATCTGCCTGCCTCTGCCTCCTGAGTGCTGAGATTAAAGGTGTGCACAACCAACACCTGGCTCTGATACCCTCTTCTAAGGACACCTGCATACCCATGGTACACATACACTCATGGACACACACACACACACACACACACACACAAATAAATAAATAAATAAATAAATAAATGTTTTTACTTTTTAGGAAAAAAGCATTTAAAATATCTACCATTGAGACTTTACCAACTAATGGAGGGACAGGATATTTAACAAAAAACTATAAATCATTATGTAATGATTTAAAAAACAAAGTACTATTCCATGCTCCAGTGCATGAACCCACATCCTTGAGTGTTAGACAAGCACAAATTAAAAAAGGAGAACAAAAAAAAAAAAAAAAAAAAAAAAAAAAAAAAAAAAGGCATGAAGCTGGGTAGGGGAGGGTACATCAAGGAGGAGTTAGGGGAAGAGTAGGAGTGAATACGATCAGAGCACATGTATCCACGAATGAATTAATTAAAATAGCACTATGCTAAAGTATATTATGGAATAGGGTGCCATAACAGTGTGGCATTGACTAATGAGTTACAGTAGTGTCTCAGAGAGGATTTCAAGTGGTCTGGAAAAGAGGCAGCCGTTAGCCATTAGAGAAATGGTAAAGAGAGATCCTAGGAAAGGAAGTCTCTCTGATATGTAACTTTAGCAGATCCTACACAGGCTACTGGGAGAAACTTGTCACCAGTAGTTCTACTTGGCTAAAGTCTTTATGCCACACTCTCAACCTTCCAGATAAAAACTGTACACTGTTGCAATGGTGGCCTGACTATTATGAGCACCACCAACAGCTTACTGGTTAGATTTAAATCCTACACCACAGGAAGGAACTTGTGATACTGTGAGCCAAGGCAAAGACCTGTGGCTAGGGAGAGCAGGGACCCCCATGAAGAACAAGGTGACTCAGTGACATCCTCTCATCTCTACTTCATCTTCAGGATCCTAAGTGGAGGTTTCAGTTTAAACAGAGGCCAGAGAGGTGCGCATAGCTAAGCAGTCCCAGTCAAGATAAGGTCCCACCCATCACTATCTGGGCTTCAGTATTTTGTGCAAAGTGGCCTGATAAATGGTCAGAACTGTGTGAAATATTTTTCTGGATGATAGTCTTCCTCTGGATGGTATCACCCTTGCTTATCCCAGCATGAGGCTCCTGAAAAACTCCAATTTCTTGGAAACATTCATAACAATAGTCAAATTACTAAAAGGAAAAAAGGAAAGGCACACATAGATTGCTAGTGCCATGAGCCTGCAGCATGGAGGGAAAGCTCACTTCCGCAGATGGTGCTGGTTGCTGCATACACCCATGCAGTCACAGTGGTTATGACTGGTAACTGTTAATGTGGCCCAACACTCAGTCATAAGTGGAAGAAAGTCAGAAATCTATGTCACCACCTCCAAGACCAAAAAAAACATTACAGAGAGGAATGAGCTAGAGTCACTACTGGGGCCTGGAGGTCCTTCTTCCAACCACCTGTAGCAGAACAAACTGGAAGACAGAGGTTGATGGGGAGGGTGGTTTCATGCAAGCCCAACTGAGCAGACAAAGTAGAAAGAATCTACCTTACAGAAAAGTTGTCCCTGCTTTCAAAAAGGGACGTCATCTCAGGAGGTTTTAAGGGATGGTGGGAGGGAGATCCTTGTGCTTTAAGAAGTTCCTTTTTTTCTTTAATTTTTAATATTATAATATAATTACATTGTTTCTCCATCCCTCCCTCCAGACCCTCCCATATATCCCTCCTTGCTGTTTTTCAAATTCATGGTTTCTTTTTTTTTTATTAAGTGCAGTTATATTCCTAAATATAACCTGCTCAGTCTATACAATGTTGTATATTTTCTGTTGCATAACAGTCTATACAATGTGGCACATGCATATTTCAGGACTGACCATTTGGTATTGGATAACCAATTGGCTACTCTTCCCTGAGAAATATCATTTTTTTCCACTCCCAGCATTTCTCAGTTGCCTGGACTTCTTTCTGTAGGATTGAGGCCTCAGGGGCTTTTCACCACCACGGTGGCATTTTCTTTGGTATCTTCCTTGTTCAGTTGACATTTGGACTACTATGTTGATAAGACTTTATGAGTGTAGCTTTTGACATTACCAGGACACACGATTTCAGAGCAGACTCCCTGATCCTCTGACTCTTACAATCTTTCTAAATATTTTCCCCTTCTAGAATGTTCCCTGAGCCTTAGTAAGGGGGAACTGTGTTGTAGATATATCCACTGGGACTGGGCTCTACAGCTCTGCATTTTGATTGGTTGTGGTTTTCTGTAAGGGTCTCCATCTGCTGCAAAGAGCAGTTTCCTTGATGAGGAGTGAAGACCTCACTTATCTGTGGGGATAAGAACAAATGTTTATAGATAGCTGTTAGGGGTTATTCTGGTTTAGTAAAGTAATGGTTACAGGTTCTCCCCCAAGATCCATGATTTCACCAGCATTGAGTAATTGGTTGGGTTTCTAGTATCAGGCACTTCTTGTTGAGTGGGTCTTCAGTCCAGTTAGAGAGCTGTTGGTTACTGCCTAGGTATGTGTGCCACTACTGTGCCCTTTGGGTTATTGTGCCATACTAGTTGTTGTGGTGGTTCATAGACATCAGTAGGGTAGGACTGTTGGTTGCTTCCCTCCTTTGGAAGTTTGCAAAGCATCTTCTGGTATTATAAAAGCTAGTTCTCGAGGAGGTCAGTTTCAGCTCAGGGGACCTCTGGGTCCTATTTCTGAAGTGCATGGTGTCTTCTGCAATAGGAACTTACCTTCCACCTGTGGGAAGTAACTAAGGACAATAGCAATAGGTCATATGTTTTGGGTGTCTCTTGGACAGCCCTGACCAACAACTCAAAAGAGGGCTCCTCATGTCTGGTATTGGGTGTTCTGTTAGGTGGTCTTTGGCTCTTGGAGGGAGCATTGTCAGTCCAGATAAATAGTTAATAGTGTGATGTTTATGACTTACTCCAATGTCTTTATTGCTATTTCACACCCCCTCCTCCTTCTGTATTTATTCGTTGGAGTCCAGATGTTTCTTGTTCAAGCAATTCTTTACAAAAGCACAAACTTTGACCTAGATTGGCCTTGTGACTGCAAAGCCTAGGAAGAATGCCAAGGACAAAACAAAGCCATCAAAGTGCAGAGGAAGAACTCAGCAAAAGGGGTTAAAGGCACTGCTCGCTTAAGCTTTGCTGTTAATGCTCTCTAATAGCTAACAAAACAATATATAAACAGCAATGGAAAAAATAAAAAATGATTCACTCTTTAAAGTGAACCCAGAGTCTTGTGTCTCTGTCTACCATTACCTTCCTAGGTCCCTGTGCTGCTAGAGGCTGCAATGGCCATGGAAATTTCCTCCCTACACTTCCTTAAAGACCCAGCGTTTTCCATTTCCCTGATCAAATTCTTCCAGCAGTCCTGTGAATGATTTATAAGACAGAAATTTTTTGTTGAAATTCTCCTTCAACCCACACCTTCTCTGTGTCCCTGTCAGGACTAGGTGTAAGTTAGACCCTCACCAGGCTGTCAGGACAAGTCCAAAAACTCTATAGGCTTCACAGCCTGTTGCTTGGTGACAACTGAAGCTGACTAGCATGTAGCTGCTTTTTGTCCATAGACTGAAGAATGAAAAAAGTTCAGAGCAAACAAAAGTAAACTGCATTGGCAAGTACTACAGACACCCCCCTCCCAAGGAGAGGAAGGACTGCAGAGCTAAGAGACTACCTACTCTGGGGGCGGGGTGGCTGAGTTTTTATTTGTATTTAAGTAGCCCCCATTTGGTAACCCTTCCTAAAGTCATACTGGACCTAACACATTCAAGGGTCCCTTTTGCTGTAGATAGAAGGTTACTTGCTTCAGTTCACAAACATGGAAACAACTGTTAGTTGTTAGGATTTGTCACCAAATCAAGACAGATCTCTAGCGCCCCCCCCCCCGTGCCCCCTGCATTTGGGTGTTGTAATGACTTGAGACAAAAGAACCTTAATTGGAAAGAACTTAATGCAGAAAAAGGGAACAACGGATGAGTCATCTCCTTCCTGTCTGACTTTCCCAGTGCTCTGGTCTTGCTCTGTTCTCTTGACTTGCTTTGCACACTCTCCCTTCCTCTCTCTCTCTCCCTCTCCCTCTCTCCCTTTCCCTCCCTCCCTCTCTTCCCCCTCTCTTTTCTCCCTCCCCCTTGCTCCTCTTTCCCTTTTATTCACAAAGCTTTTGCCACATTGCACAAATGCAAAGCTTTCATTGTTTACTACATTAATTTTGAACGTTAAAATAGGCCACCGAAGGAAGAAGTATCCCACAGCTCCCCGAACAACTACAGCCCCAAGTGGAAATGAAAAAGCTATTCCAGATAGGAAAAAAAGGAGGAAGGTGAGTTTCAAAGAGCTTCATTTGGACTGAGTATCAAAAGAAAGACTGCCTCTTTCATGTGCTTTGTTTTGGTTTTGGTTTTGGTTTTGGTTTTGTTTGTTTGTTCTGTTTTGTTTTTTGCTTTTTTTGTTTTTTGTTTGTTTTTTTTTTGTTTTTTTTTTTTTTTTACAATATTTGGATCGTTGTGCTACAAAGTGTGGTGTAACTGTTTCCTTCAAATTAAAACCTTTCTTTCTAGAAGGGAGTTCCTAGGACTTGGGGCCAGAATCTAAAACTGTTCTAAAATCTCAGAAAGCTGCAAGATTGCAAGGCTCCTCCCAAAAGTTATAAAAGCAATATAAAAGCTCTACTGGTGGCCCAGTGGAGCTGCGTTTAGGTCAGACCAGAGAGCTCCAGGGACACGTTTATGGGATTCAGCACCCATGCTGCGGTGGGTACCCCGGTGGCATGGCTGCCTTTGAGCCACCCATGTGCCTTCCTGTAAGTAACTCAAGCAGAATCATGGATTCACTTAGACTTGGGAGGGATTGTGCCTTCCAGTGCTCTCTGTGCATGCAGTATCTAACAAAAGACTCTCAGAGATAGAGGGGGGGGGGGGGGGGGGAGCAACAATACCAGTAATATTTCTTTGCAGTTGATCATGCTGCTTAGCTTGGTTTTTCTCGTGTGATAGTATTGTAATGGGATATATGTAAGAATTATTCTGGAAAGCTTTCTAAATGGAGGGAGTCATCCTATTGGACTGGTTCCAACCTGTTGGAGGTTGTCTTCTTGAGTCAGAAAAGTAGACGCATCTTTTTAAAATTTGTCTTTGGATGTTTTGCTTTGTGAGTGTGTTTAACATACACAAAGAATCCTCCGGAAGATTTACCTTACTGGTACTTCTTCCACTCTAGCACTTCCCCTTGAACTAGTGCCTGGGGGGATGGCCTCGGAATGCTTGCTTGGGTCTTCCAGGAGATTCTCTTAACTATTTTTTAAACTAGTAATACATATTAATGTCCATGTTATTCATATATAGAATTACATAGTCAACAACTTAGTGAGAGATCTTTTGTGATCTACACACAGTGAATTACCTGGACCTGAGGTCCAAATAGGTCCAGACCAGGCTGGTGAAACCCACCGAAACAGCTGACCTGAACCACAGAGAGCTCTTGGTCCCCAGACTGATAGCTGGGATACCAGCATGGGACCGATCCAGACTCCATGAATGTGGGTATCAGTGAGGAGACCTCGGAAATCTATGGGGCCTCTTGTAGTAGATCATTACTTATCCCTAGCATAGGAATGGACTTTAGGAGCCCATTCACATGGAGGGATACTCCCTGAGCCTAGACACATGGGATGGGCCTAGGCCCTGTCCCAAAGGAATGACAGACTCTGAAGACCCCCTATGGAAGGCCTCACCCTCCCTGGGGAGCAGAAAGGGAATGGGATAGGTAGGGTGTTAGTTGGGGGGGGGGGCAGGATGGAAGGGAAGGGAGAGGGAACTGGGATTGACATGTAAAACAATCTTGTTTCTAATTCAAATAAAAAAGGGAGAAAAAAAACAGAGCAGACAAACAAGACAGCGGCATACACTTCCAAAAATGACTGTATTAATTTATAGTCTCACCAACATCGGGGTCATATTGAAATTGCAACTTACATTATGACCCAGCTGAATTTCAGCCAGCAATGGTAATATGCTTTGACTTTAGAAAGCATATTAATGTAATCCATCACACCTGAAAATACATTTTTAAAAATTATGTAACTACCCTGATGAATCAGAAAGGGCCTTTCAATGTAGCTCAACTTCTAACAGTGTTAAAAACAGGGAAGTGTTTCTTTTAGAAAATAACTTCCTCAGTCAAATAACACTCACTGAAGGAGCAAATACTGCATATTAGACACCAGATGTTCGTTCATGCACATTTGGTGAAAAATTTATGCTATCAATGAAGGTGAGGCCAATAAAGTATTCAGTAAGTTACTTATAATCGTCTCTGCTCTGAATGTGTGTTGCTGGGAAATCCTACAAAAATAAATCACAAGATTTTCTATATATCAGCCATAAGAATATATTTTAAAAGAAATATATGCATATATTTAAATAATATATATGTATATATATACATATATATAAAATTATGTAGCCTGTCAGCATCAACTGACAGCAGGGAGGTGTCCCTAGCCCACAACACTAGCTGGGGAGCTATTGACAGCCCATGGGTTTTGTAAGAAGAGTTGTTTCCTTTAAGGGTGTGGCCCCTAGTAGGTCTAAGGAGCTGTAAAAGATGGTCCCACGCCTGTGAGTTTATGGGTGGTACCAGTTGGATTCAGTGGGTTCCAAAAACATAAAATTAAAAACAGGACATGAAGTTGGAAGAGTAATGGGGGTGGATCTGAAAGTAGTTAGAAGACACAGTGTGAGAATGACCATGATAAAAATACATTTCATGCACTATGAAATTCTCAACTAATTTAAAAATTATATAGATATCTCAGTGTCTCACTGATTAAGAGCACTTGTTGCTCTTCTGAATCTTCCAGAGTCCCAGAGTTCAGTTCCCAGCATCCACATGGTGGCTCAACACCATCTGTAGTTTCAGCTCTAAGCAATCTGATATCTCCTTAGGCACAAGGCATGTAAGTGGTATACAAACATACATGCAGGAAAAACAGTTATACACATAAAATTAAATAAATATACTGAACATACATATACACCCAAATAAACATACACATGTGTGTATAGTATATATCTACACATGTAGGAGGTTATATTTCCAAACTCTTAAACTAATTTATAACTTCCTCGTAGGAACAAATGAAAAAGAAACTAATTTTATTTTCAGTCAGAATGAAACATCAGAGAGCAACCAAGACAGTGGAACCAGAGGCATCCAGATTCTAGAAAAAAACAGACAAGAACAGAGTGATTAGGGATCTAAAAGGAAAGGAAAGTAAACTCTTAAAGAAGCAATGCACTTTAAATATGTCAAACACCTGACAACACAGAAATAGCCCTTAGTATAAAAATAAAATAAGAGGGAAAATACAATTTTGAGAATCTGTCACCAGAAGTTTTTAAATTATAAAATATCTTAAGTAGATGATAACCAGAAGAAAAATTATCCCTAAGTGATAAAACAGAAATGTAAGAAGAATGAAAAATGAGAAGCTAGATGAATAAGTATTCTACAAAAATAATAATTTATAGTATATAAATAAAATAATTACCTGGCAATGTTAACAACAGCAAACTTGTGAGATAATTCAATGTAAATGTAGTATAATTTTATAGGCTCCCTCTTGCAACAGCAAACTTGTGAGATAATTCAATGTAAATGTAGTATAATTTTATAAGCTCCTTCACCTCCTGGGAAATATTTAAGTGTAAATTTATTTTAGAAACTAAGGGCTAGAGAGAGGGCTTAGAGGGTAATGGCATTTGCTTCTGTGCCTGATGCCCTGAGTTCCTTTCCTGAAAACTACATTAGAAGGAAAGAACTGACTCTCTCCTTCAAATTGTCTTCTGGAGATGGCAGGGGGGTGGGTGGGCTGAAAGGTGGCTCAATGGTTAAGAGCGCTGGCTGTGCTTCCAGGGACCCCAGGGGGTTTAATTCCCAGTACTCACATTGCAGCTCACAGTTGTCTGTAGCTCCAGTTCCAGAAGATCTGACACCCTCACACAGACATGCATGCAGGGAAAACACCAATATACGTAAAGTAAAAATAAATAAATTATTTCATAAAAAGTTGTCCAAGAAAAAAAAAAATCTAGGTCAGCCTAATCTACAAAGTGAGTTCCAGGACAGCCAGGACTGTTACACAGAGAAACCCTGTCTTGAAAAACAAAAATTTGTTTTCTGTTCTCCACATACACAGTGGCATGAGAGCTCATGTATGTGTGCACACGAGACACACACACATACACACACACACACACACACACACACACACACAGAGAGAGAGAGAGAGAGAGAGAGAGAGGAACTAAAAAGTTGAAATCTCTCAAATACACTAGAAATTACTTAAGTAGCCTGTATAAATGGCACTCCAAATTCTTTGGGAAAATAGAATAATCTTAAATCCTGATTAACATAGAAAAATCAAAAAGGCTGAAGGAGGAACATAGAAGGGACAAATAAATCCAAACAGAAACATGAAGGTATGCAGGTGGGTTGATAAAATATGCCAAATTCAGATGAGAAAATTCCTGGTGGGAAAGACAAGTTGTTTTTGTGGGACTACCGTGTCCTAGTAGAAAACTTTTGAAAGTATAGACAGTTTTTTTAATTAATTTGAATACATTTAAGGATGATAAAAATAAATCATATTAAAATTAAAAATTAACAGACTCTGGATGAAACTGGGTCCCTGAGGAAGGGAGTCAGGTTGGTGGGAGCTACATGGTCTTTTTCCTCAGCCAATTAACCTGTGTCCATCAGCCTTGGTCCCTCCAAGTCACCCACAAAACTGTAGAAAATTGTGACCATGAAGGAAATACATGATAAGGACAGAAGGCAGTTGGAGAGTGAGAAGGCACGTTTGGGGGTACTCCCAGGAGAAAATCTGAAACAGGAAGAACCTGGTGACCTGCAGAGAAGGTGGTTGGTCTTGCCTCCTTGACTGGGTGCTCAGGGACACCACAAAGCCTCACAGAAATTAGCCTAGCTGACAGACAAGGGATGTCATCTGTAACCCACTGAAAGGAACCATTTCGTTGTTTGTAGTCTAAGAAAACTGAGAGACTTGGTTACGGTCAGACTGGCACCAATGCCACCCATCCTCCCACTTCAGGCCTCTCAAGTACCTGTGGCCAATAAAGATTCATGTTTAAAAAAAACAAAACAAAACAAAAACAACATACTAAATCATTAAGTACAACACCCATCCTCCCACTTCAGGCCTCTCAAGTACCTGTGGCCAATAAAGATTCATGTTTAAAAAACAAAAACAAAAACAAAAACAACATACTAAATCATTAAGCTAAATCATTAAGTACATGT